GTTCCCCTTGGCCCCTCTCACTTTTTTCGGAAGGGGGCGGCCCGGAGCTTCCGGGGGGGCAGGCCATCAACAGGGGGATGGCTTTTAAGCGCAACGGGGCCAAGTCCGGGGGAAGTGCTTCCGAGGTAAAGGGGGCAAACGGGGGCCACGGAATCGGGGAGAAAAAGGGGGCCCCTTTTTTGGTTGGGCCCGCTTTTTGGCCTAACGGGGGGCCCCCAAAGGTTGTAAGTTGCGGTCCCCTCCCGGGCCCGTTGGGCTTGGCGGTCGTTTTTTTTCGGGTGTTTTCCCTTCTTTTTAATTGGCCCCTTCCCCCCCCCCCCCCCCCTTTTCTTTTCCCTCCCTTTTCACCGGCGGACCCCCCCCCCCCCCCCTTCGCGTGGCAGCTGCGGCCGTGCGCTCTTTGCCATCCTCGCAGGGCTCACCATGTGGGTGGGCATGTGGGACCTCGTCGACCAGCACCTCCTCCCGCTCCTCTTCGAGGGCTGCTCCGTCGAGCCCTCCCTCGAGTGCGCGCTCGTCAAGCTCGCGCTGATCGCGGTGGGCGCACTCGGGCTCTACTGCACGCGCTCGCTTTACGGCGAGGACGGCAGGCCCGAGTACGCCCACGTCAACTTTTCGCGGATAGCGTGAGCCCGCCCATTTTGTCAGTACTCGTGTGTACGCGCCGTCGCGGGGCGGGGGCACAGAGCGTGTTGACTGTGAGTCGTGTCTTGTCGCATGCACAATGTGTGTAGTGCGGTGTGCAACGTATATAGCAAGACGAGATGGATAAAGCAATACCTATCAGGTAAAAAATCAAATTTTAAGCGCGCCGCGTGTCGTGCGCGCCGCGGCGGGCGGCCGGCGCGTGTGTGTGGAGACCGCGCCGCGTGGTCCGTGGACGGTGGAGCGCTCTGGGTCTGGCGCTCCGGCGCCGCGGGGCCCGCGGGCCGCTGGCCAATCTGCGCGCGACGTTTGAGGGGACCGAGATTACTGATTACTGTGCATGCGTACCATACTTCAACGTGCATGTACTACCCGCCTTCGCCCGAGCCCTGCACACATCATTACTTTGGACCCATCGCGCTCTCAGGTCGGCGGCATGCCGATGTCCCGCGCCAGTCGACAAGCGAGGCACCTACATCGCGAAGAGCGGGGTCTTGACTGAGGCGTGGGCCAAGGTCTCTTCTCGGAGGCGGCGCGGTGTTGCCGTCGTTGCGGCGTGCACGGGGCAGCCCCCGGGGCGACACACAGCTCGGCCTTAGCCGCCCTCGCCTCGCCCGTCTTCGCTTCCGCTACAGCCGCCGCCTTTCGCGCCGCCGCCGACGCCTCCACCGCCTCCGCCGCCTTCCGCGCCGCCTCCGCCTCCGCCTCTTGCGTCGCCGTGCGAGCTGCCGCGACGGCTGCGCGCCGCTCCGCTGCTCGGTGCTCCGACCCCTTCGCCGCCGCCGCCTTGCGCTCCTCCTCCTCCGCCGCAACTCGCGACACCGCGGCCCGCGCCGCCTCGGCCGCCTCCGCCGCCGCGCGAGCCGCAGCCTCCGCATCTGCTGCCTCCGCCGATAGCCGCTCTCGATCGGCCGCCACCGCCGCCGCCCGCTCCTTCTCCGCCGCCTCCGCCTAGCACCGAGCGTGGTTGCAGTGCGCGGCGAGGGGTCACTCGCGCCTCCCTCGAAAGCCGCCACCTTCTCCGCACTCTGCTTTGCCGCCTCAACCTCCGCGGCCGCCCTGCTCGCCTCCTCCTCCGCCGCCGCCTTCTCCGCCGCCACACGCGCGGCTGCCGCCTCAGCCGCCGCGGCCCTCGTCGCTTCAGCCTCCGCCTGCGAGGCGCGAGACGCGCGGCGAGAGGTCAGGCACCCTGCGAGGTGAGCTGGCCGCCCGTCTCTACTCGGCCCGCACCAGCTGGTGCACAGCCCGCAGCGCTGCGGCAGCCTCAGCCGCGGCGACCCGCGCAGCCTCGGCCGCAGCCTTGGCCGCCGCCTCCTTGGCGTCCGCACCCGCCTGTGCCTCGGCCACCGCCGCACGCGCCGCCGCCGCCGCCGCCTCCTCCTCGGCCGCGATGCGCGCGGCTTCGTCGGAGGCTGCAGCCTTGCGCTGCTCCGCCCTCGCCGCCGCCTCCACCGCCTCCTCCCGCCCCCCTTTGGCTGCGCTGGCCGCTGTGCGCGCCGCCGCCTCGGCCTCGGCCTCGCCCGTCGCCAGCTGCTCTCGCGCCGCGGCGGCCGCCGCCAACCGCACCTCCCCTGCCGCCGCCGCCGCCTCCTTCGCGCGCCGCTCCTGCTGCGCTGCCGTCGCCGCCCCCCGTGCAGCCTCGGCCGCCGCCGCCTCCGCCTCCGCCTCCGCCTCGGCGCTCGTCGCCGCCTCCTCTCTCAGCGCCGCCTCAGTAGCGGCCGCCTTTTCGGCCGCCGACTGGGCTGCCACCGCCGCCGCCTCTGCAGCCGCCGCCTCGCCTGCAGCCCGCGCTGCGGCGGCCTCGGCCGTGGTGGCGGCGGCGGCAGCGGCAGCGGCGGTCTCTGCCACGCTCGGCCCAGGCGGAGGCGCCTCCTTCTCCTCCTCCTCGTCCTCGGTCGACGAGCCTAAGGGACGTGTCGTGGACGGGTCATGCGCATCTCCCGAAGATGTCGCGGCCTCGTCCTCGGTCGAGACGAGCCTTCGTCGGCCTTCGCCGCACTCCGCTCCTGCGTCTCCGCAACCTCCTCCTCCGTCTCCGACGAGTCGTTGTCTTCAGTCTCCGAGCCCGCCGCAGGGTCGGCCGCCGCTGCCGGTGCCGCCGCCTCCGGTGCCTCGACCAGCTTCATGTTTGTGCTGCGAAGGGCGATCCTCTCTTTGCCGACCCGCACCTCGTACCGTCCGGCTGACTCGCCGTCGGTGCAAAGCCGCCCGACCTTGACGCGCGTGCCGTTCAGCTCGGGGCGGCCCTTGAGGCCCGTCAGCACCACCTCGCGCCCTGCGAGGGACTGGAGGGACTGGAGGGCGGGCGGCACCTCCGTTGGCGGAGGGCCGGCGCTGCTCGACGAGGCGGCGCGAGGCGGACCGTGGGCTGCCGCCGCCTCCTTCTCCGCCCTCTCCTTTGCTGTCGCAGCTGCCCTCCGTCGCGCCTTCGCCGCGGCAGCCGCCGCTTCCGCCGCCGCCTCCTCTGCCGCTGCCTCTGCCTCCGCCCTCTCCACTTCTTCTGCCGCCGCGGCTGCTGCCGCAGCCTCTATGGCGGCCGCGGCGGCGGCCGCTGCTCGTGATGACGTGTTGGTGGATGAGGCGGAGCAGGTCGCGGAGGTGGCGGAGGCGGCGGGGGCGGCGGGGACGGCGGGGACGGCAGAGCCTTGAGCGGAGGCGGCGTGAGGCGCCGCAGAAGAGAGAGCAGTGGACTTGTGCACCTTGGCCGAAGCTGCCTCCACCGCCCCCGCCGCCTCCTTCTCCGCCCTCTCCTTTGCTGTCGCAGCTGCCCTCCGTCGCGCCTTCGCCGCGGCAGCCGCCGCTTCCGCCGCCGCCTCCTCTGCCGCTGCCTCTGCCTCCGCCCTCTCCACTTCTTCAGCCGCCGCCGCGGCCGCTGCCGCGGCCTTAGCGGCGGCTTCAGCGGCCGCCTTGCGCTTGTCTTCCGCACCATCTGAAGCAGTCCTCTTGGCTGGCTCCTCTGTGCCAAGCGCCTCAACGCGTGCGCGCTTCCCAGGCTGCGGTGCTTCAGCCTCGAGAACGAGAGAGCCGTCCGACAATGCAGCCTCGACAGCCGCAACCAAAACCGCCTTCGTCGCCTTCGTCGCCACCGTGATGCCAGCTTCCTCGAGCAGGGATCGCAGCTCTGCCACTTTGAGCTTTGAGAGGTGCATCGCGCCCAAGGCGAGGGGTTCGGGCTCTTGGCGAACAGGGCGCGGTCAATTCCGCATGGTACGGACCCCTCGATCGTCTCGCCCTCCCTCGCTGGTGCGCTGATGGGGGGGGGGGGGGGGGTCACACGGTCAGGATCGAGGTGCACGCTGCTGAAGCAGTAGTGTCGTCCCCCCTCTCCATCGCGCATCCTCCATCCACCTGCGCCTGCCACCCCGCACCCTAACTCCGGTAGTCTCGCGCGACTCCTCTTCCTTCTCGAGGATCTCGAGTTGCGGAGCCAGCTGCTTGGTGTACGAACTCTGTTCACACCGAGCAGCGACGAGGAGGCTGCTGCGGTTTAATAGCACAGCGTTCGCACACAGAAAAAAGCTGCGAGAAAAGATAAAAAAGTCTAAAGTGCGTATGTGTGACTGTCAGCACATGGGAAAATAGAGGGGGGGGGGGGAAGAAACATGCAAAAAGAGAGAGGGCAGAACACACAACCATCACATCTCTGCAGAACTCAGCAGCCGCTCACCGCTATCCTGCCGCTGCGACACGATTTGCCTACGTTATGGGCCCCGCGGCGGCAGCCCGGTCGGCGGCGGTCGGCAGCCACTGGCGACATGCGCACACGCCTCTCCTCTGCCTCCACGCGACACGCCCACCCTCGCAGCAGGAAGCTCACCGCGCTCAGGGGGTGGCACGACCGATGGGCTCAGCGGGCATGTCACCTCGCCGGCCAGCGAGGCGGTGGCGAGCGTAGACGTAAACAGCGAGCTTCAATGGAGCCCTGGCCGGCTCTCTGCTGGCGCAGCGCGCTGGCGCAGCGCGTTCCGCCTCATGCGCCCGCCTCGCCGCCGCCCGTCACCTCAAGCAGCTCGTCGTCCTTGCCCGGCACGGCGACAAGCTCGAGCAGGAAGCCAATCTCGGCGTTGGAGGGGATGCGCGGCTTGCCGGGCGAGGCGGAGCGGCCCTTGTCCCCGAACGCGAGCTTGCCCGGGATCGTCAAGTCCCACACGTCCCCCGTGTGCATCAGCTTGACCGCCTCCTCGACCCCGGGCAGCACAGAGCCGCTGCCGACGCGAAAGTAGTACGCCTCCGCCGACTCCATGATGTCGTCGAAGACCTGGCCAGAGCTCTTGATCGTGCCCTTGAAGCGGATCGCGATCAGGTCGCCTGTCGCCGGCTGGCCGCCTTTGCCGGACTTGATCACATTGTAGGTGAGCCCGGATTGGGTTGTGTCGGCGACAGCGGCACGCGGCAATAGCGAGGCAGCTGCGAGGGAGGCGCCGAACACCGCCTCCCGTCGCGCGATGCGCGGCGCGCGCGCCTCCTGCGGCGGAGGCAGCGAGAGCGCCGACGCCGTCGCTAGCAGGCCGAGGAGGCAGATTTTAGTCATTGCTGGGAATGCTCGCTCCAAGAAGAAAACCTTGTCCGGATGGCATTGCTAGAGAGTGCGAGGTGGTGTCGTCATCATCTGTCCAGCGTCCACCCATACCGCGTCGGTGTCCAGTCCGAGCCTGACTGTTCTTCACCTTCCTACATACATACAGGTGGTACGGTGAAGGTCGCTGCGAGAATTGGCGAGAAAACTGCGAAGAGAGATAGGAAGAGGTAGACGCCCAAGGGTGGGCGACGGCTAGCACCACACTCCTCTCCTTAAAATCCCTGTGTGGTGGTGGCATGCCGTCCTCCCTGCTCCCAACTCCCATCCCTCCCTTCCGGTTCTGTTTTCTTTTTTACGTCATTGCTAAGCGAAATTCGAGCCAACACCTCATCAACGCCCCGCCCGGACGAGCGTCATCGGGCCCAGGTCCAGCGCGTCTGCGCCCCCGGTGTATAGCGGCGGCGGCGGCTGGTCTTCGGGCGCGGGCGCCGTGCAAGCGCCTCCCCGACGGCCGCCCCTCGGTCGCGCCTTGGCCCTGGTTGACGCCGTCTGCTGGAGGAAGCTCGCGTCGCTCAGCAGCGGCGGCGCATCGTCGACTCGGCGCAAGGCCGCGCGGAGGGCGGCCACGGCGGACGGCGTGTCCCGGCTGTGGTCAACGGGGATGCTGCTCAGCTCGAGCGCCAGCTGCTCGAGCGCCTCGTCCTGCGTCAGCTCGCCTCGCCTCTCAGCGGCGCCGGCGCCGGTGAGGAAGAAGGAGCTCTCCTCCTCGTCCGCGTCCCCGTCGAGCCCCGACGATTGCGCCTCGGGCGGCGTGGCCAGCGCCGCCCTGTCTAGGTTTCGTGCGGTCCTAGTTTGGGGTAGCCGACGGCACGGTGGCGGTTCCGCCACCCTGGTGGGCCCTGAAGCGCCAAGCTTCGACGGCGGCGGCGGCGGCGGCGGCGGCGTTGTGGCGACTCGCGCCTGCGGGTTGGTCAGGCTCAGGCCCCCCGACTCGGTGCGGCTGACAAAGGGGTTGCCGTAGAGGAGCAACCTGGAGAGGCTGCTCAGGCGCTGCAGGAGTGGTGCGACGTCGCTCTCGTGCTCGATGCAATTGTGCGCGAGCGAAAGCGACGCGAGCATCGCGAAGCCGCCCTCTTCGACGCTTGCGGGGAGCCGCTCGATCGCGTTGCGCGCGAGCGAGAGCGAGCAGAGCTTGGGTAGCGTCGCGAGGGAGTGGATCACGCTCTCAGAGCTGAGCCGATTGTTGTCGCACGCGAGCTGCCGGAGCGACGTGAGCGATGCGAGTGAGGCGGGGAGCTCCGCCAGCCGGTTGTTCGAGAGGTCCAGCTCTTTTAGCATGGGCAAGCTGCCGAGCGAGACGATTGTGTCTGGCGCGATTCCATTGAACGAGACGTTGAGAATCTCGAGGCGGGCAAAGCTGTTCTCTGGGACGTGGAGCCGCGTCAGGCCATTGCAGTCGATATGAAGCTCCTCGAGCGCCGGCAGCGACGCCAGATCCTCCAGCTCCACGCCGTTGTCACCCAGGTCGAGGTGAGTGAGCCTCGTGAAGAAGGCCAGGTCCTCTGCAACGACGCGCGAGAGGCCGCAACCCTCGAGAACGATCCGCTCGGCCTCTTCGGGGTCCTCCACACGTGCTGCCTCGAGCAGAAGGAAGCCGTCCAGCACGATTGAAGCCTCCACTGACCGCTGCCTCGAGCAGCGCGCCGGCTCGCGAGTGCTGCCAGCCCTTACCCGCCGCCGCCGCGGAGGCGGCGGAGGGGGCGCATCCAGCTCGATCGTGCGGGGCTGCGTGAGAGCAGAGCGGCTCTCGAGCGCATTAAGCGCCGAGAGCGAGACCTCCGAATGCGCTCGCAGTCGCCCGCGCTCAGGCATGGCGCGTCCGTCTCGTCCGTCGTAACGGCCCGTTGAGCAATGGGCGCTGACACGCTCGGCACAGGCGTGCCCGAGTACGTGGCCCCGGCCCGGCCCGTTGGCGGCGGAGGCGAGGTGGCGGCCAAGCCCTGTGGCTGGAATGACGCCTTTCATGCGGCCTTCCACGGTGACCATTCTGCGCTGCGGGCGCTCGGGGCTGAGGCGCTGGAGGCGGACACAACTGGCCTGCGCCCGATCCACCTCGCAGCAATGCGGGGCAAGTGCGACTGTGCCGAGGTGCTACTCTCGATCGATGGCGACTCCCTTGAGGCTCGGTTCCTGGACTACCCCAGACCTCGTCGCGCCCACAATTCACCGGCTTGCTGACTACTTGCAGGCTGTAGACTGCCACGGCCGCACGCCCCTCATGTTCGCCGCGAGTGGCGGCGATGCGGACATGATCCACTTGCTCCTGGGCAAGGGCGCCGCAATCGACGCGCAGTCCAAGGACGGCAAGACGGCGTTACACTGGGCGGTTGTTGCGCACAAGCTGGCTGCAGTGGACGCCCTCGTCGCCTGCGGAGCCGCTCTAGACGTTCGCCAGGTTTTCAGCCTCGACGCGTCTCCATCCGAAGCTTGGCCGCTTCAAATTCACACCAGTTCTCCACCTCGTAGGACCCGCCGGATGAGCCTCTCAGGCCGGGCAAGGACGAGCTCGGCGCGACGGCACAAGAGTTGGCTACAAGGCCCAACGAGCGCGACCCGCTGAGGCGTCACGTGGCCACATTTCTCGGCGCAGCCGCGGAGGCACACGCGGCCGGCAACCCACCGCCATCGATGCCGGAGCCTGCCTGGCTCGCACACGCTGCGGCGGTCGTCGCCAACGACGGAGGGGACACGAGCACGGGCGAGGAGGAAGGCGCCGCCTCCTGTAAACAAGACGAGGGGCGCGTCCTCGCTGTCGAGGAGGAGGAAGAAACGGAGGAGAAGGAGGAGGAGGAAGAGGAGGAGGAGGAGATGTCGAGCGAGAGTGCGCCCGGGCAACAGGTGGCAAGCTCGGCATCCGCCCCGGCGAAAGCCACGGACGAGCAAGAGTGCGCCCCGCAACCTGCGGAGGCGCCGTCCGCCATGTCGGCGCTGTCGGACGACGAGCTCAAGGAGATGTTGCTGCAGGCAAAGGAGAGCGAGGGCACGGCGGGAGGCCTAGACGAGCTAGATTAGAGGCCTCTCGTCGCCACTCCATCGGGGGGAATCGAGCGAGGCTATCGTGACGACCCTCTCCCCCTCTCATGTGTGTGTGTGTGTGCGTTTGTGTGGCTCGACACGCTCGAATCGCTCGTGTGCGTTGCTTGTCTTTCTCTTGGTACAGTAAAACAACAAATTGATAGAATTCAAAAGGCACCACACGACCGACACGCTTCCACATGGCATGCATCACAAATAGCAACTACACTGGACATCCGTCATCCCCCGCCCACATGCCCCCGCCACACTTCACAGAGAGGCTCATGCATTTTGGTCAGCAAGCAGCTCCCATCGTCATGCGGGCGATTGAGCGGCGACCAAATAGCGAGTGCGAATCCGCAGCCGATCGCTCCGCGTCGGAGGGCACGCGGTTCTCATCGGCGTCGTCGCCGTGATCGAGCACGAGCGAGAGCTGCCTGCGGACCGACATAGTGTTGAAGGAAGCCTTGCGCGAGATGGCTCCGACCTCGACCCTTCCAGTCGTGCGGTTGACCTGAAGTCCAACCTCAGTGCTGTCGGGCGTGGGCTCCTTCGCCGCCGAGGAGCCACCGAGAGCGCCCTCGGCGAGGAGAATGCGCTCGGTCAACGAGAGCTGGCCCACATCCACCACAGGCGAGGTGGGTCGGGGCGACTCCGCGTTGAGCTTGATTGCATCGATCTGTCGCTTGAGACGCGACGCGGTGTCGTAGTCCTCCGCCTGGACCGCCGCGGCCTTGTCGGCTTCGAGCTGCAGGAGGCTGTCGATGGAGCCACGACCCTCCTCTGCATTGGACGCTGGCGCACGCAGGAATGAGCCAGGCGCTGACTCGGGCTCCTCGGGAAGGGGCACCAGAATATCGAGCTGTGATTGCTTCGCCTTGCTGCGCTCGGGAAGTTCGGGGCGCTGCCGGAGCTCGTGGTCACCATGCGCAAACTGGCACTTTTTGCCGTAAGGGCACTTGTTCGCGGCCAGAAAGTTCTTGCAGAGGACCGTCTTGTAGCGCGGGTCGCGCTTGTGCTTGCGACGAGTGGTGGGTTCTGCCGCCTTGGCAGCGTCCTCAGTCACCGTGGGCGGCATGGTGGCAGCAGCGGGCATCAAGGAGAACATGCAATCGGTGCTTCTGTCGGTGACAACCAAGGAACGGCGAACTAGGAACCGCGAACTACTGGGAAAGGAAGTCACCCCGGGTGGCGTTGTGATGGTGAACCTTTGTGTCTGAGTGTGAAGGCCGAGGGTGGCTGTGCTTGTGCTTGTGGCCCACATGGGGGGGGGGGAGAGAGAGAGAGAGAGAGAGAGAAAGAGAGAGAGAGAGAGAGAGAGAGAGAGAGAGAGAGAGAGAGAGAGATGGGTGTGCCCCGACGGTGGACCACCTACCCAGCGGCAGCGCGAGCGGGGCCCTCACCCCGCGCGCCGTGTGCCTTGAGAGCTGCTCTTGTGTGTTGTGAAGGCTCGGAGCGGGTTGTGTGAAGGATGAAGCCTTGAAAGCTTGACCCATACCTCGCCGCGCTCCGCGCGTCACCCAGTCCTCATATGTGTCCCATGTCCAGAAATGACAAATGTGGCACTCAACAGATATACGTGTGTGATATAACACGCAAGTCGCAACCACACCTTCTCCCTTTTTAGCGCTGATAGCGGGCTACCCGCGGTACCCCTACCTCGCCGCCGGCCGCAGCGGCAAGCGGACGCTCTCGCACTCCCCGGAGAAGGCGTCGGCGGCGCACCTCCGGGCGGCGGGCCGGCCGGTCGGCTTGCCGCCCCGCACGATGGGCAGCGCGTCGTCGACGCGCGGGCCTCGGATCTCGATTGCGTCGGCAAACACGTGCACCACCCCAAACGCGCAGCCCTCGTCGCCCTTGTTGAGCGGCGAACTGAAAGTGCAGTGGTGCACGCCTACTCCACCGGAGGCGGGCTCACCGACACGCGCGGCGTCGAGCGGGGGCGGGCGGGCTCGAGGCGTGCCGGCGTCGTCGCAGTGATACTTCCCGCTGTGATCGTGGCCGCAGAGCACCGCCGCCACGCAACCTCCCGCCTCGCCGGAGCGGACGGCCTCGAGCGCTTCCTCGTAGTCCCACGCCATCGTGCTGCCTCCGCACGCGCGCGGCTCAAGGATGACGTGGCACAGCACGATGACGCGCTCGCCCGCCGCCGAGGCCGCAGCCAGCTCGGAGCGCAGCCAGCGGAGCTGCTCCTCGCCTATTGGGGCGGAGGACGGGTGACACGAGCTGAGCGGGTGACAGGCGGCCAGCTGTGCAGCCCGCCCGCCGAGGCCGCCGTTGTACGGCACGAAGCGGCGGTCGTACCCGCGCACGCCCTCGAACCACGCGCCGCCCGACCCGCTCGGGTGCACGCCCGGGTTCTTGCGGCGCAGCAGCTCGACGGCGGCCAGGCGGCGGGGGTCGTCCTGCGCGTGGCCGATGAGGGCGAGCTGGTACGGGTCGAGGACCACGACCCGCCAGCCGGCCGCGGGAGAGAAGCTGTAGTACTCGCGGTCGCCGTGCCGCAGCCACCCGGCCGCGGCGAGCGCTCGCCGGTCAAAGTTGTAGAGCTCGTGGTTCCCGACCAAGTTTACCGAGGGGCAGGGCGCGCGGCGCAGTTCGGAGAGCGCCGCCTCGAGGGCGGGCGCGCTCTGCCCGAGCCGCACGTTGACGCCGTCGATGATGTCTCCCAGCTGCGCGATGAACGAGGGCGGCTCGGGCAGCGCTCGCCACCAGTCGACAGCGCGCTGCAGAGTGCGGAACGCGCCCCGGTAGTGGCGGACGACAGTGCGGTCATAGTTAGACCCGTCCTCCGCGTCGGCCCACTGCACGTCCGCGATGATGCCAAACGTGAAGAGCGGCGCGGAGGCAGCGCGGGGCGACGGCGGCACACTCAAGGCGAGAACACCGCCGCTGGCGCTCGCACCGATGGCCAGCGCTGCAGCTCGGAGTTGGACGCGCTTGCAGACGTGCATGAGCACGACGGCAGAGCTTGGAGGTCGAGCACGTAGCCAGCGCCAGCGCCGATCGTTGGTGCAGCCGGAGGCGAGGAACGCGGCGTACGCCAGCGCTGTGCAAACGAGCAGCCGAAGAAACTGAATTTGACGCGGGGGTTCGTTTTCTTTCTTTCTTTACGGCCTTCCGAGGAGTACGACACAATAGCGCCCGTGATTGCCTGCACGCTGCCCACACTCACGGACTCCATACCCGAAAGAAAGAGAGGGGAGCTCGCAGGAGAGGTGACGAGTGAACTACAGGTAGTTAGTGGGGAAGGCAGCCTCGATTGCTACAGACATGACAAAACAAAGTACTCGCTTTCTTTTATGTCCCACCATGCAGAGCGCATCTCTCTCTCTGTTGTGCGAGGCGTGAACCGCGCCATTCGCTCTCACCTGGCAACCCTGTCTGCACGTCTCGCGCGCGCGTGAACAGGGCTGGGGGAACCGTCTGGAAAGGAACTGGTCTGCTTTTCGCTGCACATGCTGAAGCCGCCACAGGCAAAGCTCTTTTGTGCTGTGAATAGCAGGCCCAGGCGTGTGGTCTGTACTCGCCAGGAGGCACCCTTGTGCTAGTGCCAGTGTTTGGCGTGGCCAGGTGTAGTTGATTTTTGCTTGGGCGGCAGCCATGCCGGGGTAGCTAGGGTAGGTTCTGGGCCCTCCCGTCGGGTTTTCCCCTCTCTTCACGCCGGAATTTTCACGGCAGAAAAAGAAATTTTCCGCCGAAATCACGATGTCAACCCTCCCCAAGTGGGTGATCTGGTGCTTGTAGGGCTTGAGAGAGTTGTTGAGGGCGTCGGCCCCGGCTGCTGCGAGGGCCCTCCCGGTGAGGTGTCCATCTTATGTGCAGTGGGGCTACAACTGTAGCGCGTCGGCAGGATCCCCAAAACCGTCGTAAACCCCCCCAAAATTGAATTCGACCGCGCAAAGCTGTCCCCCCCCCTGCAAACTTTAAACCACCATAAACATCATTGTGCAGGAGCTCCAGGCCCCAAATGACGTGTGAGTGTTAGAGTTGTTTGGTATTGCTAAAAAAAAACAACGCAGACATGGGTGCGAAACAACGACAAGACCAAGGCACGGGCGGGCAGAGGGGCGAGAGAAGAATATAGGGTGGATAAAGCGCCTTTTCACGGCATGGAGGGTGAGCCACGCTGAACGAAATGAACGTAGAGCCAAACGGGGGGAAGCCGGGGAAGAGGACTCCGAGGAGGACGACACACCAGTGCGCAGTGGTAATCTCGTCGTCAGCTGTCACGATGCACCCGAAGGGAGGGGCCAAAATATGCCGCGAGGAGGGCAGAGCTGCGACGAGAGGCGGGAGAAGCCGCGAGGGCAAGGGAGCGGCAGGCGGCAGCGCCGTCGCAGAATGAGGCAGAGGAGAGCGACGCGACAGAGGAAGAGGCGACAAGAGAGAGAACGACGAGAGTGGGACGACCGCGAGGTGGCATGAAGGTTGCAGCGAGACAGAATCGGTGAGAGACTGCGAAGAGAGATAGGAAGAGGCAGACTCCCTAGGGTGGGCGACGGCTAGCGCATCACACCCCTCTCCTTAAAATCCCTGTGTGGTGGCGGCGTGCCGTCCTCCCATCCCTCCCTTTGGTTTGGCTGTTTTCTTTCTTTCTTTTTTTACGGCCTTCCGCCGCTGGGTGCGCTTCTTACCTCCCCAACCCTGGGCGTGCAATTAATGACCGCACTCCAAGTCCTCCACAAAACTCCCAAACACTATACACATGAACATGCATATGTGCATGCACCATGCACATGTGCACGTGCATGTGCTACGGGTATGGGCCGCCGCTCGAACGCTTCCCGGTCGACTAACATCTATCTGCTGACGTCGGCCGGTGACCCCTCGTCGATCGGGTGGCCTCCGGTTCGAAATCGGCGCAGGTTGAATATTTTTTCTACATCTGAGCGGGCTCAATTTTTGCTCTAGATGCCTCCTACGGTTTCGAACTCGCGTTCTCGGGCAGGCGCCCGGTGCGTTGGTCGTTTTTCGTCACGGGACACGGGAGGCCGAATAGGCGCCCAAATATTGGCACGTAATAGTTCCCCAACTGCTTCACTGCGCCGCACCTTCACCCCAAACTGGTACGAGTTATACGTGCTGAATGAACCTTATAAACCTACACTCCTCGGAGGAGGAGGCCCGCCCTGCGGATGGTGCTCCATCACCCGCGACAAACCTACAGGACCGCGCACACGATCCACCACCACAACACCACTTGCTGAACAGTCACCGACCTTCGCCCTTCGGGTTCAGATGCCGATCCCTTTGCAAACGAGGGAAGAGAGACGTCTCGCGATACTACGGAGGGCCTCGGCCAAGATGTGCAAGAACGGTCAGACCACTCTGATCCCTCCACAGCACTAAGAATTTTTTATCCTTCTCCCACCCGCCAGCGCCACCGCCCCTCGTGCCTCGTTTGGGCTCTTGCCTCTTCTTCTCTCTTCGTTTGGCGTGTCCGCGGATTTATTCGTATTTATTTAGTTAGCAGAAAAAGAAAGATGCCGATATTCTCCTCCGTTGCGCGGCGTGTACTTGCTACTTCCTTTTTTCTGAGCTACACGGCTCACGAAAATAAATAAAATAAATAAAACGGACACCTCTACTAGGAGATGGGTAAAAAGGAACAGGTCCCCGCCCTGCGGTCTTTGTGCAGGGTTCTTTGTGGGTGTGTGGTCGGCGACTAGCCGGGGTCGTCCTCCCGATGGGGGACTAGCACTAGCCGTCTTCCACACGGCTCACGGGCACTCGGCCTCTCTCTCGATTTCAGAGCTTCAGCTCCTTGCGCAAGTGCTCTGGCAGCTCGACGCCCGCGCCATGCTTTCCGTGATCGATGGCCTGCCGGTAGGCGGCGAAGCATGCGATCGCGTCCGGATCGTCGAGCCCGCGGGGCGACTCCTTCGCCTTCCGCTCGCCCGCGCGGTACAGCTTGCCGACGGCGCACCCCTCGCGCAGCGTGGCCGCGTCCGTCATGTGCTCCTGCGCCAGCGCCAGCCAGTCGTCGCCCAAGCGCAGAGACGACTCCTCCGCCGCCACCTCGGGTTGCGCCGGCTCCGCCTTCGCCGCCGGCGCCGCGTCGGGGAGCGGCGCGTCTCCGCCCGGTGCGATGCTCTCCACGAGGCGCGCGTCCCAGCTCACAAAGTACAGGTCGCCTGACGGGTGTCGGGGACGCGTCGGGGCGAACTCCGGCCAATCTCGGTCAACCTCGGTCAACCTCGCTGTCTCGGGGGACGCGTCGGAATGTGGGTCCTCTCGGCACAGAGTCTCGGGCGATCTTCGCCGTCGAGGTCGCCGCTCGAGATGGCCTCGGGCAGCGCCTGGCGGCCCTCGTTCGAGAAGACAACCTCGCCGAACGAGCGCTCACTCAGCGCCGCCCACGCCTCCGCCGACATGCCGCCCGGCCGCGCCGTCACCACGGGCACGACCCGGCCGTCGGTGGGAAGCACGCACGGCGAGCGCGTGACGAAGACGCAGGGGCCGACGCCGCGGACCAGCGGCACGCGCGGCGCGTCGAGGCCGGGAATCGCCACGTGGCCAGCGGGGAGGCCCGCCTAATGGGCGTGTGTCGGGGGCAGTAAGAGAGAGGGAGGGGGGAGAGAAAGGAGAGAAAGAGGAAAGAGCAGAGAGCAGGGAGCAGAGAGGGAGCGAGGATGGCGACGGCAGCAACAGGAGAGTGAGGCGGGGAGAGGCCACGGCCCACCTCTGGGCTCGCGACGCCAACCAGCCACGCCTCGGCGCGCAAGGCCGGGTGGGAGACAGGCTCGACATCGCCGGTCGCAGCCGACGCCGGGGATGCCTCCTCTTCCCCTCCTTCCTCCTCCTCCTCGCCCGCGTCGTCTCCGCCCGCACGCGCGCCGTGGGGTCCGCGCAGTCCGCGCCTGTTGCCGCCGGCGTACGCCTCGATGACGCGCGGCGGCACGCCCCGCGCCTCGAGTAGCCGGGCGATCATCGGCGAGAAGCGGCGCTGCCGGAAGGAGGCGCACGGAGGGACGCCGCGCGCCAGCTTGCCCATCTGCAGGCTGGTGCGCGACGGGTGCACGCGCGTGACAAGGAGCAGTGCGCGCCCGTCGGCGGCGTTGGCTGCGGACGGGGGCAGCTTACGCATCGAGGGCGGCAGCTGGATGCGCGAGATGCCGCGCCTGGAGAGAGAGACGGGGTGAAGGGGGGGGGAGGATCGGGGAGGGGGGGGGGGTAGAGAGGGGGAGAGGCCGGGAGGCGGCTGGGTGCGGCGCAGCTGCCCTCCCTCCGCAGCCGTGGCCCGCCTCTGTCCCTGCTTGTCGTGTGGGTGGCTGGGCCGCGCCTGGCGGCGAGGATGCCCTTGAAGACGCCCAGCGCGGGCGCAAAGAGGCGGACCTGCACCGCCGTCGCGCGCTGCGCCGCCCGGCCGCCGCCGAGCAGCTCCGCGAGCAGACCCTCCGGCACGAAGCCGCAGCCGCCCGACTCGCTCGAAGGCTGCGGCTCGTCGATGAGCTCAAAGTGGTCGCTCGTCAGCTGCCGCACCGCGTGCTCGAGCCGAGCGGGCGACTGGAGAAGCTCGAGGCGGGAGGCGGCCTTGCGCGCGGACGGCAGCGCGCGCCAGTCCGCCCACCGCTCGAGCTCGGCCTGCAGGTCGAGCGGCGGCAGCAGCTCCTCAGACGGGTCTCCGAAGCAGGGCCCGGAGGCGGCGTAGTAGACGCAGCGCATGCAGCGCCGCTTCCCTCCCCAGGGCGTGGCACCGTCGTCAAAGACCCGGCACGCTGCAAACTGGTACGTCCGCCCGTTGTCGACAAAGGTGCGGTCCGGAAGGCGCGGCTGCGAGAGGCCGTTCGGAAGCGGCACCTCGACCACGCGAGCCCGCTCCCCGAGCAGCTCCAGCAGGAAGGAGGTCTCCGTCGCCTCGCGATCGGTGAGCACCGTCTTGCTCAGCCGCAGGCCGGCGAGCCGCGAGCCGCCCGTGGACGGCGTAGCGGGGCTGCTCGTCGGGTGGACGGCACGCGGTGAAGACTCTGGCGTCGCCCTCGGAGCGGGCGCGCTGCCGTTCAGGGTGAGGCCTTTGAGAGCTGACGTGGCGCTGGACACGGACACGTTTGTCCTCGCGACGGAGAAGGAGCCGATCTCAGGAGAGGAGACGCGGACCATTTTGTCGCACACCTTTTCCACTGTGCCAGCGACGCCGCCGTACTTGCGGGAGCCGCTGACGACCACGGGCGTGCCGACCTTGAGCGGGCTGGCCGGGGAGGCTGCAGGAGGAGGTGGAGTCGACATCGTGCGTGATGTGCTCTGTGTGATACTGTCGAGAGCGAGGAGGGAAGACAAACGTTCACCGCCGCTGCGCAAAAACATCTTTTTTTCACCGAGTCCTGCAACGCCTAGCTCCGCGGACGGGCCCTTCGACCCCTCACGTAAGGATCATGTAGTCCCCACAATCGCTGTCGTGGGATCGCTTGTCATGTGAGAGAGTGCGTTGTGTTCTGGTTAGCTATCCGCTTTCTCTCCTGCAACGGACCATCGGCAAGAAGAGTCTACGGGACCGGCCCCAGCTTCGGCTGAGGGCTAACAAGCTGCCGAGCCCAAATCACTGTGAGAGTCGTGATTTCTTGTTGGTTAATAAAAATCTCTCTCTCCCATCGGCGCCTGCAGAGCGAGGCACACTTGAAGAGGCGCTCGGACACCTGTGAACGAAACGCAAGCGTCTTGGGGCCGGGGTTGTGCGTTTACGTGAACGAAACGGATAAACAGAAAAAACGATGCAAATGCGACCTGGCCCGGGTCGCACAATGATGACTTGCGTCTCAACGCTCGCCTGCGCCGCCCTCCTCGTCGCGCTCATCCTCGCCGCGCACCGCCTCATCGACGCCATTGCCTGCGCCGTCAGCCGGCGGCGTCTGCGTGCCAAGGTCGCCGCATGGACGCCGCCGGGAGTCTCCTGGATTGCAAGACAGCGTGTGGTGGTGATCGTCAATCCAAACGCCGGCGCTGGGTGGGGCGACTGCGTCTACGAGGACGTCGTACGGCCGATGCTGCGGCGCGCGGGCGTCGAGCACGAGGTCGTAAGAACAACGTGCGCCGGCATGGCCGAGCGCGAGGCTGCTGAGCTCGCCTCACGCAAGGTACCGGTCGACTGCGTACTGAGCGTCTCAGGCGACGGGCAGCTTCACGAATGCCTCAACGGGCTGCGCGGCGGCGGCACTGGAGGCCGCACCGCGCTGGCAGTCGTCCCGGCCGGCACCGGCAACGGCATGAGCGACACGTGCTTCGGCCGCGGCAGCGACGCGTTCGAGGCCTTGTGTTCGATCCTGTGCGCGTCTGGGCCGACGCCTGTCGACGTGATGCGCCTGACGTACCCCGACGAGCCGGCGCGGACGCCGCGGCACGACCTGCACTTCTTCTGCTGGGCCGCCTTTGCGGACCACGACTACGTCACCGAGAACGGGTGGCGCTGGCTCGGGCCGCTCCTCAAGGTGGCGCTCGCGCCGCTGTACGTCATCGCGCAGCGCAGGGGCTACGCCGGGACGGTGGAGTTCGAGCCCGCCGGCGCCCTCGAGCCTCCGGACCCCGAGTGGAAGCGGGAGGCTTACCCGTACTCCGACGCCGCCGCGCTGCCACCCTCCCCGCACGACGCAAGCCTGCGGGTGCTGGAGGGACCGTTCTGGTGCCTTGCGGTTGGGAACTGCCCCGAGGGCGGCTCTGCGACGCTGCCAGTCCCGCGCGCGAGGATGGCGGACGGCGGCCGCGCCGATTTGCTCGTCTGCCGTCACACGCCGCGCCTCACGCGGTGGCGCTGCCTGCAGCTCTTCCTCATGATGGAGAAGGGCGAGCACGTGGCGCAGCCAGACGTGGCGGTGTACAAGACGCGCCGGCTGCGCCTCTATCCGCGCGGCGGGGCGGGCCACCTCCAGCTGAGCGGACAGGAGATGCCCATGCCGCGCGGGGGAGTCGTGCAGCTCGACGTGCTTCCGGACGATCAGCTGCTCGTGTTTTGAGGAGCGAGATCTCGCTGGGCCTTGCGGTGAGATCGTGAGTGCACGTGTGTCGACGTGTGTCGTGCTGTCGTGTCGTGTCGATCTGAAGGCCCCTAGTATGATCACGTATGCGAGGAAAAAGGAAAAATACCCCGCCCAGAGCTCTGGCACTAGACGTAAGACGAGCTAGACTCTTTTTAAACGCGGCGCACGGCGCTCTCTTTGAGTCGCTCACACCTCACAGTGGTAGAGGGGGGACCTCGAGCAGTGCTGACGTTACCACGCCGGGGCACACGAGGTGCCGAGCGCTCTAGGTCCCGCTCCTGGAGCTCGCTACTACGCTGCCACATCCGCCTCCTTGAGCCGCAAGTTGAAGTAGAGCGGAGCGAGCCATGCGACGCCAAACAGCGTGAAAGGCAACGTGTGGTCGAGCGGGAAGCGGTAAGGTGAGGCGTTCGCCCAAGCGACAAGCCACGCGCTGGCCGAGGGCGTGAGAAAGCGCGCGACGTTGCCCGCCTGCTGCGCGGCGCCTGTGACGCCGCCGAGCATCGATCTGTGGCCCTCATCGACGACGCCATTAATGAATTGGAAGGAGAGCGTGAAGATGAGGCCCACCGAAGTGATGCGCAAAAAAAACACGGGCAGCACGGCCAGCGTCGCCGCGCCGTCATCGCCCGCGCAGCATGCGGCGGCGAGCGGGAAGAGCGCGAAGCCAGGAATGGCCATGGCGCAGATGGCGAAGCGCTGCAGCGCGAGCGAGGACGGGATGCGTCTCCGCAACGCCGGGAGCAGGACGAGGTTGCCGAGCAGCAGCATCGGACCGCCTGCGTGGCGACGCGTTGTGAACGTGCCGCGGGCGTGGCAAAAGGTGGAAGCGGCAGCAGCGGCGGCGGCGTACCAAGCATCTGAGTGAAGCCCACCTGGGCAGGGCTCCACGCTAGGCCGCCCTCGGCGGTCGAGGTGATCGCCTACTCGATGCGCGGAAAACCGTGGGCTCGCGCCGAGGGCTTGAGAAGCGAGTGGACCTCTTCGAGGCTGACCCACAGCGGGTACACCTCGAACATGCCTACAGCCCGGCAGATGTGAGGTGTAAGCCGAGGCGCGGGGTCGGCGGCGGGGCGGCCTCACGCGCGCCATAGTCGAGCCATGAGATGCAAAAATATATTAGGAAGACATCGCGGCAGCGGCGATTGCGGAGCACGTAGCCCCATGGGCCGCCAGACTGGCCACTCTGCCCGCCCACGGCCGTGGCATCTCCCGAGGACCGGCGCGGCTGCGACGGCAGGAAGCGCAGCGTGACGACGCAGCCGATCCCAGCGAAGGCGGCCGCGACAGTGCATGGGAGTAGGTATGGCCAACTCTCGAAGATGGTGCCGCCGAAGGCGTTTGGAAATTGCACCGCGGGGCGAGAGAGAAATCCGCCGAGCGAGGCTGCACACACGTTGCCGATGGACCAGCAGATGGCCACCAGGGAGAAGCCCATGTCCTGCGTCTCAGGTGTGACGGCCTCGCCAATGTACGCCTTTGCAGCGGCGGCGTTGCCAGACAGCAGCCCCATCGCGAATCGGACAGCCATCGCCTGCCACAGGTTGCGCGAGAGGCCAAAGAGCGGCGCGAGCAGCATCGTGTTGAAGAGACCAATGCAGATCACTCTCCGCCTGCCCCAACGATCGCTGGCGCTGCCCCAGAACGAGCCAGAGAGGAGCTGGCCAAGCGTAAACATGGATGCGATGTAGCCGACGTAGAGGCCCGCCTCGTTGGTGCTCTCGACGAGGCCAAAGTCGAGGACCATGTAACCCAGAAATGGGTAAAGCATGGAGAGGCAGATGCATTCGTTGAGAAACGTGCATGCGAGAGGGAGCATCCACCGCCACGCCTCGCCGTAGCCGGGCGTCGTGAACATGCACGCGGGGGGGCAGAGCAGGCTCGCGCAGTGGCGGTCGCGTCGCAGCGCGGCGCGGTCGAGGAGGGGCTGCTGGTTGGACATGAGAGAGAGATTTTAGCAATACCTTTGTTTTGTGTTGGACATGTCGTAAGCGCACGCGACGCCCGTACGCGCCAAATAACACCTGAAATTCTTTAAAAAAAGAAAGAAACCAGAATACAAGGAGGGACAGGGATTTTAAGCAAGCTGGAATTCTTTTGTTCCCTGCTTTTCGCTGCGCATGCTCGAGCCCCCGGCGAGGGCTTGTGCTGTGAATAGCAGGCGTGGACTGTGCGCGAGAATTCTTCTCATGCCTGTGTGTGTGCCAGTCCGCGCCAGTCTGCGCCCTTGTCGTGCCAGTGTGCTGTGAGAGAGGCTTCTATCTTAAGATTCTTCTCAAGTCAAAACCCGCCGCGAAGTTATGTCGAAGCGCGAAGTTATGTCGAAGCCCTCGAGCATCCGCGGCCTGGTCCTGACTGTCGCCTTTGGCTACGGGCTGCCAGAGTACCGCACGTTTGTGCTGAGCCTGCGGCGCCACTACAAGGGAGAGACCATCATCATCTCAGACGCCGGCGCGGCGTCCGAGGCCAGCCAGCTGTGCGTGGCGCACAACGTGACAATGTTGCATGTGGACATGGCACCCAAGCTGTTTCGTCACACGCGCTTCAGCCGCTTCGCCGAGCTCTGCCACCTGCCGGAGCACTACTGCCTCTCGATCGACTTTCGCGACTCCTTCTTCCAGGTCAGCGCTCCGAGAGAGGAGAGAGAGAGGAGAGAGAGAGAGTGTGTGTTGGTAAGAGAGGGCGGTGCCGCACACCGCTCGCACTCGCGAGACTCCTAGTTCAGCGCGCCGGGCCTCGCCACTAGGCGGACCCCTTCTCAAACATCGACCTCCTCGGCGGCCGCACGGAGAGAGGCGTGCCGTCCTGCCTCTGCTGCCTCTGCTGGAGGGGAGCCTGCCCTGGACCTGCTCGGAGTCCCTCGTGTAGGCATGCCCCCGGACCTCCTCCTCTCGCAGGAGGGGGTCGCGACGTGGCCTCACTCGGGATACACGCTCGGCGAGCGGTGGATGCAAAAGAGTTGGGTGGAGCAGTGCTTCGGCAAGGAGACGGCGGCGGCGATGCAGGCGAGCGACGCACCCCGACCAACCCCTCTCTCGGCCCCAGCCGCGGCGGCGGCGGAGGCCGGCGCCAGCCTCGCACGAGGCGCAGCCATGCCGCGTCGCGACTCGCGCGTGACCGCGGCAGGCCCTCCACCTGAGACACCTCTCACACACCTCGGACACACCTCGGCGTCTCTCGCTGCGTGAGCGCGGCAGGCGTGGCCGACCATCTGCTCGGGCGCAGTCTTCGGCACGGCCGCCGGCTTTGCCGCCTTCGCCTCCGCGTACAGCGCCCTCGGCCAGCTCCCGCATGCGTGCGACTTCCAGGACCAGGCGCGGGCGAGAACTCACTCGAGATCAGCCGAGATCAAGAGATCGCCCGAGATCACCAGAGTCTCCGAGGACCAAGAGCGAGCGAGGGGGCGCGAAGCAAGAAACCCCTCACTGAACTCAACTCGCTCGCTCGCTCACTCGCTCACGCACTCTCGGCCACGCTCCACGCCCGCGCGGAGCCGAAAGTCGCTGCCACCATCAGCCAACTGCGTGGCCTCGCGTGATCTCGCGTGATCTCGGTTGACCTCGGGTGATCCCGTGTGATCTCTGCAGGCGGTGCTCAACTACCTCGTCTTCAGGCGGCTGCTCCACGCCTCGATGAGGGTGCAGCCGCGCGGCGCCGGAGTCGTTCACACCATGGCGCCCTACTGCGGCGTGACGATGTTTGTCAAGCGAGGAGGCTGCGCCATCGCCGCCCGGCATGCCGCCTCGCGGGTCGGGCTCCAGAGGCGAGCGTGTCACTCGTCCGGTAGGCGCGCGGCCCTACTATTGTCGCGAGCCGCGGCCGTTGCCGCTCAGCGCAGCCGGCCTGGTGGTCAACGACGACGGTGCCGCGTCGCCCGTAGATGCGTCGACCGTGGATGCGCCCGGTGGTGCTGCGCATCGACACACCAGCACCAGCACCTGCCACGCTCGCACGTGCCGACGCCAGCGTGGTGCAGCCGTGAGGCACTCGTGTGAGGGCCTCGCCTCTCCGTCCCGCGCCGCGCACCTCACTTCCCGCCCGCCGCTCTTCGGCGCAGGCGCGGTCGCCCCGGTGGTGCACCAGTACGATCGCGTGCTCAACCGCTCCACCAGCATGAGCGCCGTATTTGAGGCTGTGCGCCACATAGAGCTGCAGAGCACATCCCCGTCGCGGCCCAACCGCGGCCGAGGGCGGGGGGCGGGCCACAGAAGGTTGGGCAAGTCGCGTCCCTCCTGAGCCCGCGCTGCCCGCGGGCGCGGCCTCTCGCTGTTGTGCACTTCTACGCGCGGGGCGTCTGTGACCGTGGCTTTTCTCCCATTCTTTTGTAGTCACTGAGAGTTAGCTTGAAAGCTAGTCGAAATTCGGGACGAATAAGACGATGGCCAGTTGGGTGGGCCGAGCACAGACGACCGAGAGCGGGCTCTAATCTCTCACAGTCACCACAACACTCTTCAGCCCCACACACCGGTTCCCCGAGATGATGTCTCGGGAGATCGAATTCTGGGCGGTGGCGGTGGCGGTCGACTACACCTGCGGTCGCCGCACGGTATGCAGCAGCCGTCGGGCGGCTGCCCCTGGGCATGCAATCGGAACTTCGTGCCGTAGGCTCCTACGCGCGGGAGTGTCCAACGCCAAGGCAGCTTGAGGCGGGGATCGGGGTTCGGGGATTGGGTGGGGGAAGGGGGGCACGCGCCGAGACGAAACGTGGCCGTGGTGGGCGTGACGCCGGCTAGCTCGGCCGACCAGATGGCGTACACCTCGGTGGGTACGCCGAAGTCGAGTGTGATCGTGTGGTGCAGATGCCACTGCGGCACGTACACCTCTGCCGCGTAGCCGGCCCGCGACTTGAAGCGCTGGACGATCGAAAAGACGGCGCCTATAGCGAGCACGCCCGCAGCTCGCACCGGTTGGGGCCCGGCGGAGAGCGCCTCAACGTGTGCGGTGGCGGCACACCATCGCAAGACGGCGGCGCAGGCGGCGGCGAGGGCGGCGAGGGCGGCGAGGGCAGCGGCGGCGGCTTCGGCCCCGGGGGCGGCGGGCGCGGCTTAGCAAGGCAGTGCAGCCGCGGCACCGCGTACGGCTGGCCGCGCATCTTGATCCCGATCTCGCGCGCCTGCTTTGGGAGCACCAAGTCGAGCCTCGGCCCGCGCTCGCCATTCTTGTCGGCAAAGTTGGCATTCCAGAGCGAGTAGACGGAGTTGGGCACGTCGCCCCAGTCGAGAGTGAGACGAGCGCCCTCTTCCCACTCGTCCAGCACGATGTGCGCCATCCACTGCCTGAGGCCTGGCGGCGCAAGGGGCGGCACACTCAGAGGTGGAGGGCGCGGGTGAAGGCGGCCGGGCGTGTCCGACGCGGGTCCGTTTCTGTGTCCTGGCAGGACAGGTAGCGGGCGGTCGGGTGGCGGCGGGGACGGCCGCACCGGTCCGCTCGCGGTCCAGCTCCTTGTCCACGACGAAGCGGGCTCCGAGGCTGCAGCGTGAGCGCGTGTAGACGGCGTTGCGCCGCCGGGCAAGCGGCTCGGCGACGCCGCACGGCCGCGTGGGCTGGAGCGCCTCGTCGCCTCGGCAGGCGCCGCCGCACTCGGCGGGGTCCCGCGGATGCGCCTGATGGCGCCGAGCGCGTCAGCAGAGTCACCACTGCAGAGGCACAATGACGAACGCGGAGTGTGTCATTTGACGGCGGGACCAGCGTCGGGCGCACCGCGTTTGGCGTCGAGCCGAAGCTGGAGGCGCACTGGCAGATGCCAGCCTGCAGCGCAAAGTACGGCGAGTGGCTGCACCGCGCCGCGCAGCCCGCGACGCCCGTGCGCGGCTGGACAACCGCCTGCTGCCAACCCGGCAGGTCGTGCTCGCCCCGCTCGGGCGGGAGCTCCGGGAAGCAGCCGACAAACACGATCTCCTCGCCAGCGTAGGCGGCCGGATCTCGCCGCCGCTGCGCTGGCCGCGCCGCCGCCACCGCGAGGAGCAGCGCCAGCGCGGGGCTCGAGCGAGGTGGCATTCGACGGACGTTGCCGGGCCGCGGCGGGCGCTTCCGCTCGATTCAGAAAACAAAAGAAACAAAGAGACGCAATACAAAGAAAAACGAAAAAAGGAAATCCCCTAGCGACTTGCCGACTTCCACAGACTTCTACAGATGCCGAGATGGACTGCTCGACGCTCCTCGGCCCGCCAGCTCTGAGTACATCAAGCCAACCATGATGCTCGCCATCCTGTCCCCGCAAGCCTTTGTCGCGCCTACTTCTTCCGCTGCCCTCACGTCGTTCCGGGCGTCCGCCATCACCATGCAGCAGACGTACGCCGACTACCTGGCAGCGCGGAACGGCGTGGCGGTTTCGCCGCCCGTCTCGCGGAACGGCGTGGCGGTTTCGCCGCCCGTCTCGCTTCCCCAACCCTCCTTCACCTACGAAGACTACCTTGCCCGCCGCCACGACTCTGCGACCGACGTTGCGCCCGCGGAGGAGGCCCCGGCCCCGGCTGCCGAGCACTCCTTCTACGCCGACTACCTGGCAACCCGCGACGCGGCCGAGGCGGTCGAGGCCGTCATCGGCTCTGCTCCCGTGGAGGCCCCCGCCCCCACCCCTGCTTCTTCTGCGCCCGAGTCCTTCTACGCGGACTATCTCGCTACTCGCGACGCCGCCGCCAAGGTGGCCGAGCCCGCTCCCGTCGAGGCCATGGCCGAGGCCCCGGCTGCCGCCTCGCCCACCTCCTTCTACCAGGAGTACCTCGCCTCCCGCGACTCTCCGCCGCTGGCGGTCGACGCTGCGCTTCTGGTGGCCCCGGCCCCGGCCCCGGTCGAGGCCGCGCCTGCGTCGCCGTACGCTGAGTACCTGGCGACCCGCGACGCTGCCGAGGCGGCCAAGGTGCCCGCGGCGGCCGTGGCCCCGGCCGTCCTTGCCCCGAAGCCGGTCGTGGCTGCGGTGCGGCAGGCGCAGCCGGGCAAGCCTGGCGCGTACGACCCATGGTCCGACGACACGAAGACCCTCGTCACTTTCGAGGTCGACGGCGTGCCGAAGCAGTACCGCATCAAGCAGTAGAGGGACTCGCAACCCCTCGGACCCCCCCCCCCCTCCCTCCCTCTAGCGAGGCGCGGGGGACGACCAGAGCGAGGCCCCACCACGGGCCACACCCCGTCGAGGCGTGTCTGCATGAGTGCCCGGGACTTTGCATGAGCGCTCTGGTGCGACGGGGAGCATGGCGGCGCTCGGATGTCGGAAGTTTTGATATGTGTGTGTGGCCGAATTGCGGCAGCGGAACTCTGTGGCTGGCGTGACTCTCATGCTCGAGACTGAGCGGTGATCTGATGCGACTCTTGCTCTCTGTTCGTGTCACATGACGTGGATCGTGGTTTACTGTATTTTGGTTAACGACACTGTAGTCTTCCTCCGTTCCTGCTGCGGCTTTGCTGCGCGGCGCGGCGCGCGCGACCCCGCGCGGCTAGGCGCTACTAGGCCTCGGAGCTCGGAGGGAGAGCTAGTTGCTAGAGCCCAAGCCGTGTAGCTCCGCCGCGCCGGCGATCGCCGGTCCCGCGGAGACGTCCGGACACCCGCGCCGCGGCGGATCGACCGCGGCGCCGCGACCCCGACCGCGTCCGGCTCTCCGCGCGGGGGGGGGCCTCTCTCCCCTCTCGCCCCCGCCCTCGGCCTCGCTGGCCACAGGCCAGCCCATACGGCACCAGCCATAACCCTCCATTGCGCACCTAAAAGCCAAACAGCATACTACGGACACTTCATGCTTGACCGCGACGGGCACCTCCTTGCAGTAGCGCGCGGCGTGACGGGGGCACGGGGGCGCAACCACCGCCTCTGTGGTCTCACTGTTTCCTCACTCGTATGGTAAAGCTGCTAAGCCCGAGGAAGAAGCGGGCTGCGAAGGCTGCGCCGGATGATGCCGAAGGAGGCGTGTCGCCTCCACCGGCCGTCCGAGTCGCAGAGCCGCCCAGCCTCTCGCAGCCGCTCGCAGAGCAGTCAACGGCAGGGGCTGTCGCGGCTCCTCAGTCCAAGGCAGGCGCTGTCGCGGCTCCTCAGTCCAAGGCAGGCGCTGTCGCGGCTCCCGGGCCCGCAGCGCAGCAGCAGCAGGCGCAGGGTCCCATCGCGAGCTGCCTGGGGCAGCTGCGACAGAGCGTGAAGAACTGCATCGCGGTGCTGCAGGCGTGCCGCATAGGAGGGCTCGCGGGCCTCGCCAAGATCCTGGCGGCGCAGCCCGGCACGTGGCCGCTGGCCGTGCACCTGACCCCGACCGAGACGGGCATCGACGTGCAGGAGTCGTTCGGCAACGTGGCGCTGCCGACCGCAACCTCGGAGTACTACGTCGACGCGCTCGCCGACGGCGTGACGGCGACCGTCACCATCACGCACCCCGGCTCGGGCGTCATCTTCTGCAACGTGGCGGCGTACACGCCCGACGGCAACCCAGTCCTCCTTCCGGACGGCTCCTACGACCAGCTCGTGCCTGAGCCGTCTGGCCAGAGGAAGACGGTGAGCAAGCAGTTCACCGGGCCGCTGCAGCTGGTGGTTCGTTTCTACAAGAACATCCGGCTGCGGCAAGAGTGGGCGAGCGAGCAGGGCTGGCTGCCAACCATCGAGGTGGACGGCGAGGCCCTGCCCGAGACCTCGCTCGCCGACCGCAAGGCCTTCTCCAGTCGGCTCACCCCGCAGCTCGAGAAAGCGGTTGTGAGCATCGCGCCGGCCGAGCGCACAAAAGAGTCGGAGACCCTAGCCTTCGTGGTCAACGACGGCGCCGGCCTGTACCCCAACCCGCAGAGCAAGTACTCCTTCTTCAACCCCTCCATCCCAGAGGGCAAGAGCGGCGTCAAGATCTCGATGTGCTGGCCGTCGCAAGAGGACAAGTCCAAGTGCAGGCTGCTATTTGGCGACCTGATGGTGACCGACATGCAGACCACCCGGACAGACGCCTCCCTCCCGTCGGACCAGCACGGCGACGACGGCGGGGGCGACTACGGCACGCGGTGGGGCGAGGCCGTCGTCGCCTACATCTACACCGCGCACGCGCCGCTCTCGGAGGAGGCGGTGGAGGCGCTCGCCGCGGAGACGGCCTTCCTGATGCGCTGGAGCGCCGATACGACGGCACCCGGCATCGTGTACCGCCTCGTGCACAAGCTCGGCGACAGCGAGACGCAAACGGCCATCCACGACCTCCTCTCCTCGGACCAGATCAAAATCGAGTATGTCTGACCGGCGGCCCGGCGGGGCGGGTCCGGGGGGGGAGTCTGGGGGGGGGGGGCGCTCCTCCGGCGGGGGGTTTCATGAAAAAGAAAGAAAGTATTTGCGAAGACACCGTCAGCAGCCTCCCGTGCCCAGAGCGCAGAGCTCTGGGGGGGAGGCGGGGGCCCCCGGAGGGGCACCTCCCGTGCGCCGTGC